ATTTAGTAAGTTTGCAAGACAGTAATGAACTTTTATTACATTGCAAAAATAAACGAAATAAAGTGTCACGCAGCCTTGGAGAATGGCAAATGTGAAAATGTAAATTATCTCTTGCGTTTTCATCACGCACAATGTTCATTTCTTTTATTCGACGTGATATTTCAAAAGTAAGATTCTTGCTCAAAATATTGCTATACTTTTACAAAAAAGTCGTTAATATACTTTTGAAAATCTCGCCAAACTATGCAAAAAATAAACATTGAATTCTACTTCATAAATTTATTCTTAGTCAATAAGTTGACCTATAGCTTAAAATCGACAGTTGAATGGCAGTAGTAACATTGTAATACATTTATTTTAGATTAAAATCAAGTTATTAATAAACAAGTAATATGCATATTATCATCTAAGTTACCATAATTGGAAAAAAGTAGGACGAGCGAGATAAGTAGCATACTATACTATTTCAAAAAAAGAATGTACAAGTTGGCAAAAAATACAAATACTCCTCAAATCATGCTTGTTTACATGCGTATAGTGCATGCTTGTGTATGCATCATGCGTTTATAATAAAATATTCAATTTTAAAAAAGTTTGAAGCTGTAATCTATGCAATTTAATCACTGATGAGAAAAAAAATTTTTAATATTTAGTAGAAAAAATAAGTATCTATCGTAACACAACAAGACCATATTATATTCTGCGTAGAATGAAAGAAAATGAAATGAAACATTTTCAAATAAACCAATAAAGTGACGATGTTATTTGTTGTACGGATTCAGATGCAATCATAATTGGTGATGGTAAGCACTGGAACATAACTTAATTTTGAAGCAAATTTTATTGCAGAATGTAAAAAAAAAGAAGGAATCCATCGTAACACAGCATGATCATATTAACAGTATTAACAGTAAGTTAAATAAAGTAACAACATCTGCACTTGTTCCAATTGTTTATTATCATTATCATTATTATTATTGCTATTGTTATTATTATTATTATTATTATTATTATTATTATTATTATTA